GAGATAGAGAGAGAGGAGGGGAGAGGAGAGAGGAGAGAGAGAGAGAGAGAGGGAGAGAGAAGAGAGAGAGAGAGAGAGAGAGATAGCGGAGAAGAAAGCAGGAGAGAGAGAGAGAGAGAGAGAGAGAGAAGAGAGAGAGAGTATTGAGAGAGACTCGAAGATGAGAGACGAGAGAGAGAGAGAGAGAGGAGAGAGAGAGAGAGAGAGAGAGAGAGAGACGAGAGAGAAGAGAGAGAGGAGAGAGAAGAGAGAGAGAAAGAAAGAAAGAGAAGAGAGGGAGAGAGAGAGAGAGACAAACAGACAAACAGACAGACAGAGAGAGAGAGAGAATGAGAGAGCACTTGTGGATTTAGAAAGCAGTCCTTAGCAACATCCTTGCAAGAAGCGATATGACTCGTAGCCTCGCCCTCTACAAGTGTCCGAGTGTCACTCCATACGACGCCTCGAGGGACACCTGACACGGTTTTGTCGAGTCGGCCTCCTCTTCTGGCTCGAGTCTCAGGTCGTGTTGCGCGGAGTGTCTCTGCACGAGTCTGAGCGAGGGGGAGGGGGCTCGCAGTCCCCTCATGTAGTTAGGTGTGTGAGGGGCGGGAGGCGAGGGGGTGGGAGCGAAAGGGGGAGAGGGGAGGGTGAAAGTGAGAAGGAAGGGGGTAAGGGGGATGAGGGCGGCGAAAGGGGGAGGGGGGGTGTGGAGGGGGAAGGGAGGGTGGGAGGGGTGAGGGGCCGTGAGGCGAGAGGAGAGCAAGATCTAAATAAGCATTTATATAGACCTGAGGGAGAAAGGGAGGCGAGAGAGGGGAGGGGGGGGGGGAGGCAGGAGGTGGGATATGGAGAGAGGGGTGGGGGGGGGTTGAGGGGGTAATCCAAATTGCGACATCAACTCAGAGGAAGGAAGATAAAAGGTGAATAAGAAGATAAAGAATGATCAGAAAGTAGAGGAAAGGGGAAGGGGACTAAGAAAATGGAGAGAAGAGGGATTGATGGAGAAGATAAAGGGAAAAAAAAATGAGAATAAGAAATAAGGAAAAGGGGAAAAGTAAAAGATAAGGGACAAGAAAAGGAAGAAAGAAATAGATAAGAATGAAATACGAATAGAATGAGAGATTTAATAAGAACAAGAAAACGAAAATAAGAATTAGGACAAAATGCGATAACAATGATGATAATTATATAAATATTTGATGATGATGGTATGATGACGATGATGATAATAATAACAAATAATAATAAGAGTAAGAGAAGGAATGAATAATTCTCTCTATTTTGTTCAAACAATTTTGACCTAATAACACATACCCTCTTGAGGTACTTTTCCTTCTATATCTGAACCACTCTCCCTCTCTTCTCTCTATCTGTTCTATCTATCTATCTCAATCTCAGTCTCTCCTCTCCCAATCTCTTTCTCTCTCTCTCTCAATCTCATCTCTTCTATATCTCTCTCTCCTCTCTCTCTCCTCTCTCTTCTCCTCTCTCTCTCTCTCTCTCTCTCTTCTATCTCTCTCTCAATCTCTCTCCAATTCTCTCTCTCTTTCTCTCTTCAATCTCATATTATACTCTCCCAATCTCTTTTCTCTCTCTCTCTCTCTCAATCTCATTCTCTCTCTCTCTCTCTCTCTCAATCTCATATTCTCTCTCTCTCTCTCTCTTTTTATTCTCTTTCTCATTCCCCCTCCCTCTCCTCTCCTTCCAGTCTCCTCTCTCTCTCTTCTCCTCTTATTTCATCTCTCCCCTCTCCCCTCTCTCCCTCCAGTCTCCCTCTCTCTCTCCTTCTCCCTCTCCATCTCTCCCCTCTCTCCCTCAACTCCTTCTCCCTCTCTCTCTCTCCTTCCTCCCTCTCTCCCTCCAGTCTCCCTCTCTCTCATTTTCCCTCTCCCTCTCCCCCCCTCTCCCTCTCTCTCTCCTTCTCCCTCTCCATCTCTCCCAGAGAAGATGACATTACCTTATGCTTATTAAGACGATAAAGATCATTCACAATAGCGAAGGTACAGTACTTGTTTCAGAGTAAACAAGACCCCGATATAAGCCCATGGTTACAGCTAACGAGGGTACGTTTCAGAAGCGTTAAAGGAGATCAAGTATTCTTTATACGTCTTTAATATTAAAGCTACTTGTATGAGATCATTTGTTTGCGTGTTTGGATAGTGAAGCGTTCGGATGTTATATATGTGGATATATTTTTTGTTGTGTTAGTTTCATTTCCTGTTGATTAATTTGCGTTTTTTTATTATTTTTTTATTGTTGTTGGATATTATTTATCCGGATTCAGGATCAGTGAAAGGAATTGTCAGTCAAATGTGTAAACATAGTGATAATAGTAATAATAAATCTTAATTCCGGAAACGAAAAAACACAAAGACACAAAAATCTTGCATAATCATTCATATTGATTTATCTATCTATTAATTCATTCATCTATCTTTCTATTTATCTCTTTATTTACCTATCTATTAATCTATTGATCATTACCATTTCTTACGTCAGATGCAAACCCAGTCCATCTCCTTCGTCTCCGTCTCCTTCTACCTTCTCCTTCTCCTCCTCCCTATTTCTCCTCATTTTCTTTTCTCCTTCTCCTCCTCCTCCTCTTCATCGTCGTCCTTCTCCTTTTCCTTTTCCTTCTCCTTCTCCTTCTCCTTCTCCTTACTCTCCTTCTCCTTCTTCTCCTCCTATCTCCTCTCCTCCTCCCTCCTCCTTCTGCTCCTCCTTCTCCTCCTTCCTTCTCCTTATCCTCCTCCTCCCTCTTCCTCCTTCCTCCTCCCTCCCTCCCCCCCCTCTCTCTCTCTTCTCTCTCTCTCTCTCTCTCTCTCTCTCTCTCTCTCTCCTCTCTCTCTCTCTCTCTCCTCTCTCTCTCTCTCTCTCTCCTCTCTCCACCTCTCCTCCTCCTTTCTCTCTCTCCTCTCTCTTCCTCCTTCCTCCTCCTCTTTCCTCTCTCTCTCCAATCCCTCCTTCTCACCTCTCTCCTCCTCTCTCTCTTTCTCTCCTCTCTCTCTCTCCTCTCCTCCTCTCCTCTCTCCTCCTCCTCCCTCTCTCCTCTCCTCCTCTCTCTCCTCCTCCTCCTCCCTCTTCCTCTCCTCCTCCTCTCTCTCTCTCCTCCTCCCTCTCTCCTCCTCCTCCTCCTCCTCTCCTCCCTCCTCTCCTCCTCCTCCTCCTCCTCCTCTCTCTCTATCAAACATCAAAATTTTCCTCGCTGATAAATTCCAAGATATGCAAAAATATCTGCAACATCCTATATCCTATAATTCCCATGAATTTCCCTGATGGCAATGCTATGATATATCACTCCATTTTTATTCAAGATTTAGTAATGATCCATGGCTAATTAAACAGACGAATTGTCGTTGATTATCCCAAAGTCCACCTACATCTATTCTATCTCTTTTATTGAATTGAACTATACATGTCAAGATATGCAATAAACGGATGATTGATCAAAAATTGATGTTTGGTTGACTGATCAATGAGGTTATTTTGCCAATAGATGGAGTGTCTGACTACATGCACTTTTTTCGCACAAAAACAGCCATAAAAATCAACCATAACAACATCAATATCATCGACTATTTTGCTGTGTGTGGGCTGTGTGTGTGTGTCTGTGTGTGTGGTGTGTGTGTGTGTGTGTGTGTGTGTGTGTGTGAGTGTGTGTGTGTGTGTGAGGTGTTGTGAGTGTGGTTGTGTGTGTGTGTGTGTGTGTGTGTGTGTGTGTGTGTGTGTGTGTGTGTGTGTGTGTGTGTGTGTGTGTGTGGCGTTGTGTGTTTGTTGTGGTGCGTGCGTTCGCGTGCATTATCTATTCAGATCTTCATTTATCATTTCGTCAACTTACTTCCTAAGAAAGAACACACCTAACCCAACCTCAGTCTCAACGAACGAGGAAATGAAACCAACATCGCAATGATCAGCCACATTCCGCTCGATCATTTGGAAAATACAAAGGGAAATGAAGACCCTCCATCCAGCGCCAGAGTATGACCTAACAATCTTTACAAAAAAAATACCTCACAACAGCGGCCGTATGACCTTTGCTCATTATCTGAAAATCAGGATGCCTCCGGGCGGGTGTTTCGCAATCGTATTTCGAAAATGATTTTTGGGATTTCGCTTTTGTCTCTCTCTCTCTGTGTCTGTCTGTCGGTCTTTCGTCTTACCGGGTACTCTTGCTCTTGGGGTTCTTTGCTCTCTGACTCTTTCTATGTCTCTCTCTCTGCTTGGTCTCTTCTCTCTGTCTATAGCTCTTTTTTCTTTCTCTTTCTCTCTCTCGCTCACTTTCTCTTTTCTCTCTCTCTGCTGTCTATGCTCTTATTTTTCTTTCTCACTCACTCTCTCTCTCTAGCTCTCTATTGTTATCTCTCTTTCTCTCCTCTCCTTCTAACTTCTCCCTCTCCTCTCTCTCCTCCTCTCCTGCATCTCTCTCTCTCTCTCTCTCTCTCCTCTTCTCTCTCTTCTCTCTCTCTCTCTCCTCTCTCCTCCTCCTCCTCCCTTCTCTCTCCTCTCCCTCCCTCCCTCCCTCTCCTCCTCCCTCCTTCCTCCCTCCTCCGCTCCCTCTCATCTCTCTCTTTTCGCCTCCCCCTCTCCTCTCTCTCTCTCTCTCTTCTTCTTATTACCTGTCTCGTCAGGATGCTTTACTACTTTCATGGGTATAAATCGAATCGAATCCGGATTTTGCTGGCTAAAATCTCTTGATGGCATCTATATGCGTTTGTCGTCTGTCTGTTATATACCCAATTACTAAGATTTTGAATTACATTCTAGCTAGTAATTTAGCCAGGCAACAAACGGATAACGAATGCATAATAGATGATAATGTTAAATTGATAGGATAATGATAGTGAAAATAGTAATTACAATAATAAGATCAACAAATGGTTAATGATATAACAACAAATAATATACGAGTGTAAGAAGGAATATAACAAGGATATCTCTTTATATATCTATTCTCCACAGACCGTGACCCAGATCTTCTGAGCAACTCCCTAAGACCTTCGTTAAGACCTCAATGAACCTTAAGTTTCCGCCACACGCATTACGCGCAAGGAGACTTCGCCGTATTCAGAGAATTCGTTTGAGACGTGAACAGAGGATTGTGTGCACCGCGATCGGTCATGCGTCACAGGATATGGAGACAGGACCTGTGGCGTTTTCTAAATTAAATAAATAAAACAAAAAATAAAAATGTACTCTGGTGTGCAGGAGGAGGAACTGGAGAATTGGAGGGAGAGCACAGGGAGTAGAGTAGGCAGGTAGGGTGAAATTATGCACCTCTTATATATGTGTGTGTGTGTGTGTGTGCTGTTATGTGTGTGTGTGGTGTGTGTGGTGTGTGTGTGTGTGTGTGGTGTTGTGTGGTGTGTGTTTGTGTGTGTGTGTGTGTGTGTGTGTGTGGTGTGTGTGTGTGTGGTGTGTGTGTGTGGTGTGTTTGTGTGTGTTGTATAGTACTGGGTAGCTGGTCTGTTGTGTATCCGAGCACAATGCGACCTTAAAACAAACTACACCTCTCCGAATCCCCCCTCCACACACACACACACCACCCCTCCCTTTTACCCCTCCGCAAGCGCTCGCCCTCCTGCCTTTTTTCCCCTCCCCTCCCTCTTCCCTCTCTCCTCTCCTCCCTTCCTCCTCCCTCCCTTCGACCTGTGAGGCATAAACTTCTTTATTTCCTCTTTAAGCGTTCCTTTATGTATCGACATGTTTGCACCGTAGCTTACCTGCGTACTCGGTCGCAGGTGTCTATGTCAGCTGGGGGGAGGGTGGTCGTGACGGCGCATGGCAAGGGGAAGGCGGGGCTATGGGGGGGTATCATGCTAGGGGAGGATTCGTGGCAGGGCATGGGTGGCATGGGGGTCTGCGGGGTCCGGTGGCCGGGGCATGGGGGGCATGGCAGGGGGAAGGGGTCGTGACAGGGGCAGCGGGGGTGCGTGGTACGGGGAAGGGGGTCCATGAACAGGGGCCATGGCGGGGCATGGCCAGGGGAGGCGGGTCGTGACAGGGGCATGGGGGGCATGGCAAAGGGGAGGGGGGGTCGTGACAGGGGTATGGGAAGCATGGGCAGGGGCAAGGGGGTCGTGACACGGGCATAGGGGGGCATGTCAGGGGGAGGGGAAGGGGAATGGAGAGGGACAGGGAGGGAGGAGGCTGAGAGGTTAGGGGAGAGGGAATCATTTGAAGGGATGTGGGGAGGGAGAAGGAAGGGGTTGGAGGGGGGGGGGCAGGGGGAGAGGGGAGGCGGCTGGAAGGGGCTTTGCAGGGGCTGTGGCAAGAGTAGAGGTAGGGGATTGGAAGGGGCATGGCAGGGGGAGGTGTTGGGGGGTTGGAAGAAGCATGGCAAGTTGAGAAAGAAAAGCCAGAAATGTGTCGCAGGAACACGAGAGAGAGAGAGAGAGAGAAGAGAGAAGAGAGAGAGAGAGAGAGAGAGAGAGAGAGAGAGAGAGAGAGAGAGAGAGAGAGAGAGAGAGAGAGAGAGAGAGAGAGAAGAGAGAGAGAGAGAACACGAGAGAGAGAGAGAGAGAGAGAGAGAATGAGAGAGAGAGAGAGAGAGAGAAGAGAGAGAAAGAGAAAGAGAAAGAGAGAGAGAGAAAAAAAACCCGAATAATTCCATTCACTCAAGGTAAAAAAAAAAAAAAAAAAAAAAAAATAGTCTGCACATTTCTCAAAGGAAACTATTACAAGCTCAACAGGTGCGTCGGGTTTAAAAATTGCCGAACGACCGTTTGTCTAATTTTCCGACCCCTTTAGATGGAAAATTGTATCAAAGGGTAATAAATATTGAAAAACATATGGCACATGAATATCTTTAAAATCCTTTTGAATCGAACGCATGAACAGAATTTCCCTTTCACGGATAGTTCTTTGTGGAATAAATGTTGCCTGTGTTTCCTTTCAGAAAGAAGAATGTATGAATAAATGCATGAATGCGTATATTGTGCAGTGCATAGTGTGTGTGTGTGTGTGTGTGTGTGTGTGTGTGTGTGTGTGTGTGTGTGTGTGTGTGTGTGTGTGTGTGTGTGTGTGTAGTGTGTGTTGTGTGTTGTTGTGTGTGTGTTATGTGTTGTGTTTGTGTGTTTGTGTTATGTATGTTGTGTATGTATGTGTGTTTGTGTGTGTTTGCTTGTGTGTGCGTATTTGCTCGCTCGCGCGCGCGTTTGTGTGCCTGTATGCGTATGTACAAATACATACACAATATCATCACAGCATGTATATACAACCCCCCCCAAAAAAAAAAAAAGGTGTTAATCATGCCCATGACCATGCAACAAAATTCCTCTGTGGGTATTGAGGTCAATGGTCGAAAACCAGCTGTTCACCACCACAGCGGTAGTTCGGTGTGGTCTTCGTCTTCTTCGTCTTGTTTTTACTACATCCCCATTTTCCTAAATTCTATTCCTTCCATCCTTTTTTTTTTTTTTTATTCGTTTCACTTTTCTTCATCTTCGGTTCTTTTCTTTATTTCTTCATCTTCGGTTCTTTTCTTTATTTCTTCATCTTCGGTTCTTTTCTTTATTTCATTCATTTCATCTTTTCTGTCTTGTGTCTAGTTATTACGGCCGACCCAGAACATTCCCCGTAGTAAATGTGTGGCATGTGGCCTTTCGGTTTTCTCAATGAAGGGATCGACGCCTGTCATTGAACAATAGTAGTTGATCATGCTGGAATATCAACAAAAAAAAAAAAATAAAAATAAATAAAATAAAAAGAAAAAAAATAGATAAATAAAAAATAATAATGCTTGGTTTATGTGTTTTATTTACTTGTTTTAACTATTATTCTGTTTAGGGGATAGATCTGTCTCACAATAAATATCTTGAAAATAGAGTTTGGAAAAAATAGTTTTTTTTAATGATCTTTGCACATATTTCTAGTATGTATGCAAGATGCAAAGGCTTGCTTACACGTGAAGCAATGAAATAAACAAAAAGACCAAAAAAAGGCAAACAAAAAAGACATAAGTCAAATAAAAATGACAAAAAACAAACTAAAAGACAAACAGAAAATGCAAACAAAAGGACAAACTAAAAAGACAAAAAAAAAGTAGAAAACAACAAACAACAAAAAAAACATAAAAGTCCCAACACTAAACAAGCTGTTCCTGGTCGTTTGGTTTGTGTGTTTCGACGTATGCAACCATCAACTTGTTTACGATTCGGTCTCATTGCTGTTATAAAGAATCTATAAGGATGATAATGATAACATCATCAACAACAACAAGGATAGTAATGATAATGATAATAATTATGATAATGATAATAAATTTAATAATGGTAATAATCATGGAAATATTAATTACAATAATAATGATCAGAATGATAATAATAATAATATTTACGACTGCAAGTATCATATATAAAGACAGTGTTTGTAGCACCTCGTTGCTGAAAGTATTCGTGACTGAAAAGAAAATAGTATCATCTGTAAGTATTTTTTATGTACGTATAATTTAGGTAGTATGCTACTACATATACCTCTAAAGAAAAAAAAAATAAAAACTTGTTTTGAAAAATAGTGTTTATTTTTTCTCGCTATCTCAGATATAATGTAGAATTATGATACCAGTTCTCAAAAGATCGAGAGGTAAGCTTAAAACACCATAATTAATTTTAGAGAAATCACAATACGAAAGAGCAGCAGCAAGCGCGATGTAACATTGTACTCTGAACAAGGTTTGGTCTTCGGTTTAACTAGTAATTAAACTACACAGACAGCCTGGGGGGGGGGGGGGGTATGCTGAGGATGAAATCTGCAATATAACTTAGGAAGGAAAGCTGGATCACTATATATCACATATGTAATATAACTTATACAGGAAGACTATATCACTGTATATCAGATAGTCATGTATTTGCACCCTTTCTGGTCTGAACGGTGGGAATTCAGATGAACAGATTGCAACAGGAAAACGGAGGGAAGGGCAAGAAAACACGAATATGCCCGAAGGTCTTTTCGCTAATGCTTCGTCATTAGTATTAGCGAAAAGGCTTCGGCATATTCGTGTGTTTTTTTCTTGCCTTCCCTTTTCGTCGTTCCTGTTGAAGATGAACGGTACGTGATCTGGCACTACTTCATACTCTGCAAGGTTTGGTTTTTAGTCTGCTCATGTGTATTATCAGAGAGAGGGGAAGGAGTAGGAGAGAGAGAAAGGCGAGTAGAGATAGAGAGAGAGAGAGAAGAAGAAACCCGCACGACCGACCCGCCGAGAGCGACGAGACGACGACGAGGAGAGAGCAGCAGACCGTAGAGCCAGAGAGAGAGAGACGCAACTACCACAGACGAGACATAGCAAGAAGACGAGAGTCCCGCAGAGAGAGAGAGATGCGAGATGCGACGATGGAGATGGAGATTGGCACGTATGGAAGGATAGCAAGTCAGAATGGAGAGGGATGGAGATGGAGATGGAGATGGAGATGGAGATGGAGATGTGAGATGGAGATGGTAGATCCGGATCGGACCGATGGAGATCGAGACTGGAGGATGCGAACGATGAGATCGCAGCAGATGGAGCATGCTCGAGATGGAGTCACTGGAGAAGAGAGAGAGCATATATCCTGCAAGCATCGCGGATTGGAGATAGAGACACCGACCACAAGGAGCTAACGAGAAGAGATGGAGAGTGAGAGAATAAGAGAGAAATAGAGAGAGAAAGGGGTGGGGGTGAGAGATAGATAGATAGAATAGAAAGAGAAAAATAATGAGAGAGGTGAGAGAGAGAGGGAGAGGGGAGAGTGAGTGAACAATAGATAAATATACATAGAGAACAGAATGAAGAGGGAGAGAGAGATAGATGACACAAAGAAAAGAAAGCAAAAGAAAATTCGAATTCTGATATCGCACTTCGAAAAATAGATACTTAGATGCGTTTTAAGCATATATGCACTTAAAAAAATTTTCCTTTGATTTTCATTTATGTATTTTATGATTAATAAAACAGCTGACGAAGATTATCCCCACCAAAAATATTTTCAGGGCTCAATGACTGCGAGTATTAATTTCCATTATCATATCTATTAACGAAAATGACTATTCCTTCCAAGAGAGAAGACGAGAGAGAGAGAGAGAGGGAGAAGGGAGGAGGGAGAGGGAGAGGAGAGGGAGAGGGAGAGGCGAGAGGAAGAGAGAGAGAGAGAGAGAGAGAGAGAGCGCACAGAGGTGCCGCAAGGGATGGAGGAAAGGAGTGATCGTAAGATATGAATCGGGATGAGAGAGATGGACGAGAGAAGAATGTAGAGGCAGAGGAAGTCCGCAGATCCAGATGCGAGGTGAGTGAATAGAGAGCCAGGGGATTGGTGAATTAGCCGAGAGAGACGGTTATTAAGGAGAGAACGCGTCTAGAAGGAGAAGAAGAAGAGAAAGAGAAGAGAAGAAGAGAAAGGGGAGAGAGAGAGAGTGTGAGAGAGAGAAGTTAGTCGAGTGACGTGCGATAGGCAGAGGGGAGAGCGCGCGGCTAGTAGTGTTAAGACCCCGACTTGCAGGGCCGCTCTAACAACTAGCGCCGCGTCGTTGTTTTCCTTCGTTTCTTATTATTGCCTGCGGGAAGCGCACAGTCGGTTGAGCTAGCTAGTCATCAATACGCGCGTGCGCCACGACGGTCCTCGGCAGGCAGGTGGTATTTGTACCGTGGTATGGTTAGACGCTCGTCTGAGCGATGACAGAAGAACAAGGTAGGATCACTAGTTACTATATTGTGAGGTCACATTGAAATGGATCGCATGCCCCCGCCAGACCTTGCCATCGTAGGAAAGTGTCGCCGAATAAGCGGCTCCGCGAATTAGGGGTGCCTGGTCCACTCGCTCCAGACACATAAGTGGAAGCAATAAAGAATAAAAGAAAAAGTAGCAAATGCTTTTGTAGCTTCTCATACTTTAGTCCTACGCCTTTATCTACAGGGGGATCAGATTCTATATCCCATCTCTGGTTTCTTAGTGGTGCGTAGCCGGGGACTCACTTCCATCCATTGACCAGTATCTCCTATTTATTGGCGCTCTGTCTCTATTCTCTACTTTCTCCTCCTCCTCATGCCTCCTCCTCCGTCAGCTTCTCAGGTCGCTTAATTTATGTTATCAGCTCGTGTCCCGGATCACCTTGTTCGGCCGCATT